TGTGGATCAAGCAGCAATAGGTAGAACCAGACATGAAACAATGGACTGGTTCCAAATCAGGAAAGGAGTAAGACACTATTAATTGTCACTCTGCTTATTTAACTTATATACAAAGAACATCATGAGAAATGCTGGGCTAGATGAATCACAAGCTGGAATCAATACTTCTGAGAGAAATATTAACAACCTCAGACATGCAGATGAAACCACTCTAATGGCAGAAAGTGAAGAGGAACTAAAGAGTCCCTTGAAAATGGTGAAAGAGGAAAGCGAAAAGCTGGCTTGAAACTCAACATTTGAAAAATGAAGATCATGGCATCCAGTCCCATCACTTCATGGCAAATAGAAGGGGAAAAAGTAGAATCAGTGACCTATTTTATTTTCTTGGGCTCCAAAACCACTGCAGACAGTGACTGCAGCCATGAAGTTAAAAATGCTTGCTCCTTGAAAGGAAAGCTATGACAAACTTAGGCAGCATATTAAAAAGCAGAGAAATCACTTTGCTGACAAAGGTCCTTATAATCAAAGCTATGGTTTTTCAAGAGTTGTGTATGGAGTTGGACCATAAAGAAGGAAGGCTGAGAGCCAAAGAACTGCTGCTTTTCTACTGAGATGCTGGAGAAGACTCCTGAGAGGCCCTTGGACAGCAAGGAGATCAAACCAGTCAATCCTAAAGGAAATCAACTCGGAATATATACTGAAAGGAATGATGCTGAAGCTGAAACTCCAATATTTTGGCCACCTGATGTGAAGAGCCGACTTACTGGAAAAGACCCTGAATCTGGGAAAGATTGAAGGCAAAAGGAGAAGGGGGCAGCAGCACCATGGACTCAGTGGACATGAGTTTGAGCAAGCTTTGGGAGATGGTGGAGGACAGAGGGGTCTGGCCTGCTGCTGTCCATGGGGTTGCAGAGAGTCAGACATGACTGAGCCACTGAACAACAACAAATAAATCCACAGCTAAGAATAACACTTAGGGTTTATGCAAATATTCTGCTATAAGAGTATAAAGTATGACATTTATCACTTGAATAAAATGAGACAATTTAGATTTCTAATAAAAGAGGGTTGATTAAATTATTTTGCTATGGATACAACCATATTGTGGAATGCTATGCAGCCATATCAATAATTTTGCAGAAGAATATTTATAACAAGAAAATGTATTCACTGCAAGTTGTTCAGAAAATTGTTATAAGAACACATTAACAAATTAGAATGTTAGTAAATTATCTTAAATGACAGCTCTTGCATCGAAGGGCATGGATTTAAATTTCTATGAAAATTTGTACCTCCTGCACCTACTAGGTAAGATGACAGATTGTTCCAGTTTCTTCTTTTGTGAAAAGTGGAAGAATTATACTTCTTCCTACCTCACTGTGTTTTGGAAATATTAAAAAAGGTAATGCATTCAATGCTCTTAGCATTTTATTGTGCCCATAAATGCTATTGATATTAACAGAATAATATAAATGTATCACTTATAAAATATACATATATTTATGTTTGATTTTGCCATACCATGAACATATGAGGTCTTAGTTCCCCAACCAGAGATTGAACCCATGTCCCTTGCAGTGGAAGCATAGATTTCTAACCACTGGACTGCCAGTGAAGTCCCTATTTATGCTGATTTAGATACTCATACTGATATGATATATTCAATATATATACAGTAATAAACCTCAACTTTTTAATACTCATCTCTTTGGATTAAATTGCGATTTTTGTTGTAATTGCTAGCTTGTTTGTGTTGCTTTGGCTGTATTCCCTAATTCTGCATGCAGAAGAGAGTATGATCAGGAGTTCTGCAACCATAACAAACAACCCCAGTGTCTCAGCCCACTTGAAACAACAAAGATTTATTTCCCACTTGTGTTACAGACCTTTGGTGGGTCAGCAGACATCTCCTTATTTAGAGACCCAGACTAATGGTCAGCCATCATCTCAAACACTGCAAATCTCCATGCCAGGGAACACGACATCATGACATCTCTCACTGCCTCTGCATCCTCCGCTCCGAACTGATAACATCCCTTTTGCTCATATTTTCTGGCCAAAGCCAGACACATACCCAGGAGAACCTCAATAACAATAAAAGTGTATTTTAACCAAGAAGAGTTGAAGACTGATGTGTAGACATCACCTGTGTCTGTGTGCTCAGTCATGTCCAACTCTTCTGCGTTTGGAGCGGAACACTGATAGGAGAATCGAGACAGTTGCACCCCACCCCCCAACCCCAGGCGCAGAAATTAGGATGAATCACTGGATATCCACACTGACTCCAGGAGAATCATCTAACTACATGAAGGAACAGAAATCAAGGAATCACAGGATTAACCAAGAATTTAAGACATCCTCTAAATTATTCCCCTGCCTTTAAGACATAATGATCACACTTAGTCATCACTGGCACAAGCAAGTAATCTAATTTAATTCTACCAGGAGAATTGCTTTTTTTTCCCCTTGGCCCCAGCTGGCGAGCTGCTGAGGCTCTCCGGCTGGAGAACCGATGGGCCTTGTAATTGCTTTCTTCACTCATGTAACCACAGCTGCAGTTGTCATTCATAAACTGCAAAACTAATCCTTTGGAAGTTTCCATCTTGGCCATTTGCTTTAAAACCTCCAGTGCCCATGAGTTTGCAGATGTAGCCCTATGAAAAACAAAGTCTGTGACCATTGGTCCAAGCGCTGGCCTGCCTGTCAAAAATCCTTGGTCTTCATTCTCAAAATTCTTACATTTTGTTACAGTTCCCTGGAAAACCACTTCACTCATCAATATCTCTGTTTCCTTGTGAGGAAACTAGAGAAGCTTACAATCAGTAAAGAGCATCAAAAGGCTTGAATAAATTACAAAAAAATAAAAAAAGTAATTCTCTACATATTAACACCTTTTTGGTATAATAAACTTGAAGTATATGCTAGTCCTGAAAAATAGGAACTAAATAAGGACTCTTCAGAAAGGTAGGAGACAAATATGTTTGTCAGAGTTTATTAAACATTGATATATGAAGTCCATAAATAATTCTCTTACGCTAACATCATATAAAAATTCAAGACAAATGGAAAACCTTGGAAGATATATATAAATAACACAGACATATATACACACACTTAAAGTCATTTTCTATGTTTAAGATATTTTATATGCTTTTCTTATTTTTCTATTACATAGCTTGCTATTCTTAGCAATAAATAAATAACAATAGTCCAAGAAAAACTGATTTTTTAGTCTTTGTTATTTTAAGAGCATAATAGGCTTGCTGAAGCACTAGAATCACCATATTTTACTAATGCTGGTATAACAGTGGTTCCTGTCTAGGGTTATTAGTGAAGGATTGGGTAAATCAGAAATGCTCCTGAAATTAAACACTCCTTCCACCCATATTTTATCCTCTTTCTTATAATCATTAGGGATAAATATCAGAGTATAGGAAAATAGTATGTTACAAATAATCTTGGAGACTTGGGAGGGTTTTCTACCCACCCCTCAAAAAAATAATAGTATAGAAAAGATGACATATGGTAATAAATAACGGTGGGGATGTGGAGAAATTGGAACCTTCATACACTTCTGAAGGAAAACTAAAATAGTATAGTCACTTTAAAGCCAGTGTAACGGTACATCAAGAACCTAAACATAGAACTCCATATGACACAGCAATTCCACTCATGGGCAGATATCCAAGAGTAACAAAAAAAAACAAAAATTCTCTACACAAAACTTGTATATACATATTCATAGAACAGTATTCACGATGGCCAAAAAGTATAAACAAGTCAAATGTTGACTGACAGATGAGTGAATGAACAAATGTGGTATATCCATACAGATGAATACTATGCAGCCATAAAATGAGATAGTGACACATTATAATGCTGAAAACATTAAGCTAAGTAAGAAAAGTCAGAAGCAGAAGAACCCATTTCATGTTCAGATGCGATATCCAGATCAGACAAAAGTACGGAGATAGGAAGAAGATCAATGATTTCCAGGGGCTGAGTGGAGAGAAGACGGGAGAGTGACTGGGAAGGGGTACCAAGTTCCTTTTTGTGGTGATGAAAATGTTCTGGAACAAGTCAGTGGTGAAGGTCAGATAATTCTATGAATACAGTAAAAAAAAAAAAAAAAAAACCTCTAAGTTGTACACTTCGACATAAGTGTAAATTTTAAGACATTTGAATTCTATCTCAAAAATTCACTTTTCAAAAAAAATATAGCCCTGCAACATAAAATTAATTTTTTAAATTTATTTAATTGGAGGCTAATTACTTTACAATATTGTGGTGGTTCTGATCCAACATTCACGGAAGGGAAATCTTTCTCCTTTTCCTCTTTCATGAATAAAATTTGTAATAACTTCAATTACCAGTTCCTCTGAAAGCATATTTCACATTAACTTTGCCACTTTCGCATGAGAGGTGAAATTGTATTTCTTATTTTGATAAATCAAAAACAATTTTGAAACCAGCTTTCCCCTAGATGAATCCTTCCTTCTTCTCCAATGTGTACTGATCTGGTACGAAGAACACACCTGAGGCTATATGCCATCCAAGAAGAGGAAAGCTTATTCCAAGAGGTCTGTTTATATGATGCTTCCTCAAAAGCCAACAGTACAATTCAATAGGATGTTATTAAGTTTCAGAAATGTCAGTGGACAATTAGATGGTTTTATTGATAAAGCTCTGAGCAAACATCCAAACTTTTTTTTTTCTTCTTTTAATGCAGCATTGAACTAGATGGAAATTGAACAAATCTCAAAGCTAAAATAGACTGAGTGTGTGTGTGTGTGTGTGTGTGTGACAGAGAGGAAGAAAGAGAGACATAGATTATAGTTCTCCATATTTTCACTCATGGATACTGGAGTGATTATTCTGAAAAGGCAAAATTTTCCGCCTTCAGGAATCTCAGCTACGTTTTAAATGATACGTGTGAGCGGAATTCGCTCTACTCACAGGATTAGAGGTGGTGGGTGGCGAGGCCTGAGACCCTCACTTACCCCTCCCCGAGCAGGGCAGAGTGGCACCCCCTTGGCACCTTCTGATGCTCTCCTCCGTTGTCAGTGGGCAGGAACGTGGGTGTTCACACTTCTTCCCAAACCAGCCTACTTTGCAGTCACATCTTCCACAGTTACACTGCCCGTGACCTTCACAATGAGAGTAAGAGTATATATGTATATTAGTGTATGTAAAAATGTGTTATATATACACACATACACATGTATATGAGAAAAATATACTAAAGTCAGAATTAGTTTCCAAACACTGAGTGTCATAAAGAAGTCAGGATTTCCATCAGCACCATAGAAAACATTAAGGCAAAAGTCCATTTTCCAACAATGTTCGTAAATACCCGAGCTATATTGATTGATCATGAAGGGTAAAGAAAAGCAACAACTCCAGATCAGACAAACAGGTTCGGAGGGCTATCAACTTGAATCCATCAAAATCCAAGTGCATGAGATTGAATTAGCCTGCTGGGGCCCAAATGGAGGGTTTAATGGATCTGGCGATTAATTCACATGGAGGGGAGCCACAGAAAATGGAAAGCGATTTGTTTTTGAAACAGGGTCTCAGCTCCTGGAGTCTCGCAGACTTTATTTTCATGACCTTTTTACTACCCACAACCCTTGAAGACTAATTTCATACACACAAAAGAGGTCAGGAAAGAAATTAATTTCTTTACACATGGACACAGAACCTTCCAAAAATCTGTGATAAGTAGTGATATGGTGTAGCAGAAAATAGACCAGGTTATCAATCATATAAGTAGGTTCAAATCCTCACCCTACTTCCTACAGAATACAGCTGGTCAAATGACAGCCTCTTTGACATTTAGGTTCTTCATTTTAAACCACATTATCTATCCACATTTATCAAGAAGTATATAATGTATCTTAAAACGCTACATAAAAATGAACTATTGTTATTTTTATTCATTTGAGCCCACACATCTAACCAAGTAGAAACAGAAAGGAATGAATAACTTAGCTGAGTTTTTTTTTTTAGCTGAGTTTTTCTAACTCTTCATAACCGTTCTGAAACTCATTATTACAAATGCAAAGTAAAGTAGATTTCAATAATTTCTCCAAAAATGCATGAAGGATTTTAAAGGAAGTGGAATCATACTTTCCTTAAGTAAATCAAGTATGTTGCTAATGGATGAAAAATCCATGCTATATTGTATTTCACATTCAGTTCAGTTCAGTCACTCACTTGTGTCTGACTCTTTGTGATCCCATGGACTGCAGCACGCCAGGCTTCCCTGTCCATCACCAACTCCCAGCGCTTACTCAAACTCATGTCCATTAATATTAATATATATCACAGAGTATGAAGACTGGCCTGTTTAATCAGTATCTCACAAGGTCTGTGGGCAGATGTCCATCTATCAAGTTGAAGCATCCGTCTATCAGGAAGCTTTTCATTATAAACTGGCTTCCTCATGGAATAACTCATAAAATCATACGTCAAAGTAGGATGAGCTATTAGGGGCCATGGAACCCAAATCTCTCATTTACACTAAATTCCATTCAACAGATTTATTGAGCACCTACTATGTAACAGAATCTATGGAACAAGTTGCTGTTGATACTAACACTTTGTCTTAGAGCTCATAATTTTAAAGGAAAATTTTTTGATTACTAATAGATACATATGACATGTGACTATGATCATTTAGACCTTCAAACATAAGAATTTTTATTATAAAAATTTAACTTACTAGCACTTATATCTCTGAGGTTATTGGGTTGCCTAGCTTCTTGCCATTTATCCTAGCTTACAAAGTTCCTCCCCATCTTCCCTGTCCTCATATAATTTTTAGAGCAAAATTTGCAAACAGAGCTGTATTGCCAATGCATAGATAAAAAACAGCTTTTAAAACAAAATCTTTAACATTTAAGTACAATCAATTCTGCTGTTCTCTGAGAGCCAGTGACTTTGAAATTCTGGTAGACAAGCGGCATCATTTGTAGGGCACTTGAATGTGCCAGGAGGATGCTGGACAAAGTACAGAACATGCTGCCATTTGTGGAAGATGAGCTGACACTTCAACAATAAAACTGAAAAAATACAGTTAGATTGAAAGGGGGGGAAAAAAGCTTTCCTCTCGAAAGTTTAAAATAGTTGTGGAAGTTAGAACAAAGCATCCAGTAGGTGAGGAGGCCAGGGAATTCCTAAGTACGCAGGAGAAGGCCACCTACTGCTGCAGGCGCTTGGCATTCACAGGCAGTGAGAGTCCTGATCCCTTGGCTTGTGGAATAAAGTCAGAGCCTGTGTGGAGGAAGATGGGGACTGGCGGGAGGATATTCTGAAGTTCTATAGTTGGCATAAGAGCAGCCATTACAGGGACGTCTCTGGTGGTCCAGTGGCTAGGACTCCACCCTCCCAACGCAATGGCCCAGGTTGGATTCCTGGTCAGGGAACTATATCCCTGCAACTAAAGCTCCTACAGCATGTCACCGCAAAGATCCTATGCATCGCAAATAAGACCCAGTGAATTCAAATAAGTGATAAATCAATCAATCAATCAATTAATAAGTAATTTTAAAATAAATAACCACTTTTTAAAAAAGAATAGTCATTACTTTCTGTCTGAGGTTCATTCACATGTCAACATTAAAAAAAATTGCAGTGGCATAAAACAAATTCGTGAAGATGGTCAGACACTATTAATAGAGATCCTTGAAATTAAAATCTGGTCTAGTTAGTATCTTAAGAAGTCAGATTAATTGTGGGTGCTTTAACAAATGTTTAAAAGATGTACAGATGCACCAGACCTAGAAGAAATCTCTGCAAGCCTTTCCCCTTGTTGCCCTCATATTCACTCTCTTCTCTTTTTGTTCTACTTACCTCGCTTAGTCCTTGTTCTCTGTGCTTTTCTCCCTAATATTATGCGGCTTCACTCTTCTGTCCCTTTGCTATTTCTGTGCACTTCTGCAAGCTCTAGGGGGAACATGGCCTGTAAGGTCTTCACCTCTATTTCCTGCGCATCTAATGCAGCATCACGGACCTTCGCAAGGATTACTACTCTGGGTTAATGCGTCACCTCTAGGCATCACCAACTCCAAAGAAAAACAGGAAGAAGATATAAAATGTGCCCTCACTTGCACCATACGTGTGATGATCCTTAAGCTTTGGGTCTTGGCCTCAGCCTTGGACCCCAGCCCCGGCCTCATCTGAGCAAAAGGCGCGCTCAGAAACAGCTGCGGTGGAGTGTGTAACACTGGGAAGAACCAATGGGGTACTGTCATTGCTGCGACTGGCCTGGGCTGAAAGCTCTGGCCTCTAAATAGGAAAGGATCAAAGTGGGAGAACACCACCTAGTTCAGGATGGCCCCCGTGCCTCCTCAAATCATCCACGGCTGTGCCTTCTACACTTTGCCGCCAGAAGCCAACATCCATTGAACAAGGTCAAGCTGGAGAAAGAAGGGTTATGAAAAAAATGAATGACTTGAATAAAGCATTCACAGTGAAAGTAATTTCTGAGAGTCAGTGGATATACAGCAACCAGTTTAAATGATGAGATAGTGACATACAGAATGTTTTTGAAGGTTTCATTTCTTGGGGAAAAAAAGTAGGTATACCTAAATCCAGTACCCCAATGAAGATCACAGAAGAAGCAAATGTAAAAGTAATACAGAAAAGGCTTAAATGTAACTCTAGTCTAGCATGGTGAAAAATAGTATTGACAGTGGTATTGCTAATCTAAATGTTGACCAGAGATTAACTTGACGAGCGAAAACATAAACAAAACTATGCTTTTGCAGTCGTAAAAATTATATTTTATATTCTTCAATAACTTAAACTCACATGCAGCCAAAAATAAGTTATGATTCCATTCTAAATGAAACTGTACCTTTTTCTATTAAATTCTTCATGGTATTTCATCAGTGGGTTTAGGAAATCAGTTAGAAATGCAAGGTATCAATACCAGATTCTGAAGCAGATTCTGAAGCTTTTCAGAAAAGACAGGAAATCAAAACTTGAAATTGCAATTTCTCTTCCGAGGTTACTAGTTTCTCAGTTTTATAGTGATAAAATGAAGATGATGAAAATGCTTGTTTTTGATTCATAAGTTTAGAAATGATAAGATCTACTTATGAAAATCCTTTAGACTGTCATAACATACTATATCAGGGTCTTTTGTAAACATATAGAGAAAAAGGCAAAAGTGAAGAAGTTAGGAGATTCATGTCCTCCATCTATATGAGTCACTGGTTCATCTTTCCGGGCTTCATCTCACTTTATCTTTAAAATGAGAGAACTAAAAGAAGTGAATTCTACCACCCTGACCTGAAACATCATGTTTCAATGCTACTGTGTCAAACCCAGGTGTGTACATATACACATATATTTGGCCTTCAGGAGTTCATTTCATTGATCCTAACAAAGATTATTTTAAACTCTGTAGACAAGAGAATCAACAAAATAGAGATGAAAGATACAGAATGTTATTGTTTTATTGCAGATATTAAATACATGGAACGTACATTAGAGAACTACTTTCAAAGACCTACGAACACTCCTTAGACACGCGCACACACACACATTCATGACATGGGAAGAACGACGGTGTCTAGTGTTGGCATGTAAATAGGATCACAGCCCGAACTGCATCACAAGGGTGGGGAGTTGGCAGCAAGAGGCATCAAAAGCATCACGGCAATGCCGAGTTTTAGGGGCTTCCATAATGGCTCAGTGGTGAAGAATCCACCTGCCACTGCAGGAGGCACGTGTTCGATCCCTGGTCCAGGAAGACCCATAAGCTCTGGAGCAACTAATCCCAAGCACCACAATGACTGAACCTATGCTCCAGAGCCTGGCAACCACAGCTACTGAGCCCACGCATCCTCGAGTCCAGAGCTGCAATCACCGAGGCCATGCGCCACAACTACTGAAGTCTGCCCGCCCTAGAGCCCGCGCTCAGTAAGAAGAGAAGACTTCACGACGACAAGCCCACTCACCGCAAAGCGACAGTCATCCCCACTCAGCCCGCCCAGCAACAAAGGCCCAGCACAGCCAAAAGTACTCTTTTTAAAAAACAGCAAAACTTACTTAAAAAAACAAAACACTGAGCTTTAAAGGCTCTCAAGAAATTATAGAAGAGGTTGCTGACACCAAAGCTTTTTTCTTTTTTTTGGTGATCATTGCACTCTTTTGTGTTAAGCTATATAACCTCAGAAACATCAACCCGGGACATATGCAGTTCCATCCATTCCGGAATGCTCTCCTTTCACAGAGGCTATTTCTCTCCTTGAAAATGATCAAAAAATGCTCATGAATTGGAATCTGATATTTACAAGTTGCTTTTCACAAAGAAGTATGAAGACCACAGAGAGAAAAAGTTGGGGAAATGAATTCGATCTAACTAGCACTTGTCATTTTTTTAAAAAATCCACTTGGTATATTATTTTTCCCTTTCAAGACAACATAAACTAGATGTATGTAACCATTTCCTCGCATTTCTTCCCTTAACTCTTTGGTAATCCACAAAGACAAATTTCCTCCCATAACATGGTTCTACCAAATGAGTCTACTTTCCAAACTAAGGGAACTCTAGGTCAGGACTAACCTTATATTTTCATCATTTTGCTAGGCAGGAACAAGCTAAAAAAGTGGAAAGTCACACTGCAGCGTATATTTTCCTATTTGGGAATTTGGCGAAATGGATCAGACTGAAGCAGTCATCAGGAAGAAAGGAGTTATTTCAGAATCAGAAAGTCAGTTGAGGGGAGCAGTTCATAGAACTGGAATACCAGAGCAGCTGATATACTTCAGGATGGCTAGTCATGCCCCTGTCGTTTCAGTCACACTCAAAATTTGTCTAGAGTATCCTCTTTGAGGCATGTATATGCGTGTGTATCTTTGTGGGTATGTGAGTCATATTTGCATATGGATGAATTCATGTATCAATGAACAGGAGTGAAAGAAGTGACAAATACACTTTAGCAGTGAAAGTAGAAATAAATACAACTTATTTATTTGGAAGCAGGGATCATATTTTAAAATTTGTATCACATCTCCTGTACCCATGATAGATCAGGCACAAAATATTTACATTTAAGTGCATTATTGAATAGATGAATGGAAAGAGTGGGAATGAATAAATAAAATGAGAAGGTCAATTAAACGAGCCAACTATAATCCAATGGGAGATTTCTATTCGACTTAAATAAGCTCAACACTCTCGGGGTGGCTGGAATGGGAGCTAAAAATAAAGCTTCATTTTATCTAAGTCTTATTACACTCCAGCCTGGCATAAAGCACTAGAGAATATCCACATCCTTGGGGGTACTTCTATCTCATATCACTAAGGTACTACCACACTCAAGAGTCAATTGCATGGCTCCCTTCTCATGGTGCAACTATGGGCAATTGGGAAAGTTGTGAAGACTAGTAATTTACCAAGCATTGTATATAGAATTCTAAAGATTTCATAAGCATGAAGAAATACTCCAGAGATTGATGCCCACCCCAGATCAAAACAGTGTTCAGAGAAGCTTAGTTTTATAAGAATTTTGAGCATCCAAAGGACATCTCTTCCTTACTGAAATAAAGTAAAACTGAAGCATCTTTTGTGCATCATTTGGAGATTAAATGACAAGAGCACTTCAGCTAAAGTTGTTTTCAGGTGACACTTAAGGGCGGTGTGAACTTTGTCAAGTCGCTACTTTCTTTGAACGTTCCCTCTTACATGTAGATAATAATGTATCCCTGTCTGAGTTAGTGTGAACATAAAATGAAATGAGGTGTGTGAACGAACTTGACAGGTGTCTCTCAGTGCAGGATCTCAGTTGAGTTTCTCCTTGCTTAAATTTCTCATGTTAGGTGTGGGAGGCAGACTGTGGAGAACTGGCCACATTCAGCTCACTTAATAAAGGAATAACAAAATCACAATCACAGCCTGATGTCTTATTGTTCAAATCACAGCCTACGACCCCATCACCTCTGTGAGTCCATTCAGGAAATTCTCCCAAGCCCAAAGGATCATCAGAACAGGGTGAATCTTCTGCAGGGGAAGCTACAGCGGCCAGCTCCCCTTGGCCAGGCCAGAGAAATCTTTGCAGTTGCATCATTGTAAATAAATAAGGCAGCTCTTTTATCTGCCTTTGCTGGCAAACTTTCTGGAGACAGAGTTCCCTATCTATTTCCTTATACCAACCAAGCAATCAAGCATGAAGACGTGTCTAGGCCTCCTGGATTGTCCCATGTAATAAAATCTGCTACTCCATGTTTGCTGAGTGACATTTTTAAAGATAAATCTGACTGCTTATTGTTTCCCTTTGCACTATTCAAAATTCTGGCAGCGTGCATTTTTTTTTTTTTCCTTTTCATTTAGATTGTGTGTGCTTAGTCACTCAGTCATGTCCGACCCTTTGCGACCCTGTGGACTGGAGCCCGCCAGGCTCCTCTGTCCGTGGGGATTCTCCAGGCAAGAATACTAGAGCGGGTTGCCATGACCTTCAACAGGGGATCTTCCCAACCCAGGGATGAAACTCAGGTCTCCCGCAATTGCAGGCGGATTCTTTACAGACTGAGTGACCAGGGAAGCCCAAGAATACTGGTTTGGGTAGCCTATCCCTTCTCCAGGGGATCCTCCCAATCCAGGAACGGAACCAGGGTCTCCTGCATTGCAGGTGGCTTCTTTACCAGCTGAGCTACCAAGGAAGCCCCTTGCATTTAGATTATAGGCTCCATGCCAAGGATTATGTTTGTCTCCTTCATTGCTGGAACCAGTGACCCGGATGCAGCACAGATGCTGGCAAATAGTAGCTGGTCCATAATAGAATTTTTGAATCCACTAATTGACATTCAATTGTAGACTTAATGCAGAACAACTTTTAGTATATAAATTATACCAAAGAAGCAATGCAACAAACTACCTACAAGAACCATATTGACTTTAGTTTTGTACCGTGTTAATAACAGTTGCCTTAACGGTACCTCTTCTGTTCTGTTCGTGGTCAGGTCTGCTAGCTTTGTGTTCTCACTGCTGAGTATTAGATACATGGAGGTAATAGTTCTTTTTGGTGAAAGACTAGACTGCTTTTCAGAGAGTGGGTGTGTTTTCATCTCAAATCTTTGCCCAATGTGGCGAATTCTCTAAAGGTTTTTCAGGTTGATATTAGGAGTCCTATGGGTCTCATATTCTTCAGAAGGCACATTCAGTTCTTTCACGGTTTCTGGGAGAAGCAGAATAAATCTTGAAAAGAGGGAAAGGAACATTTTCTTATTTTAAAAACAGGAATTAGGGACCTCCCTGCTGGTCCAGTGGCGAACACTCCAAGTTCCCAGTGCTGGGGGCCCAGGTTTGATCCCCAATCAGGGAACTAGATCCTACATGCCACAACTAAGACCCAACACAGTCAAATAAAAGAAAGAAATAAATCTTTTTTAAAAAGAATAATCATAAAAAAATAAAAACAGGAGTTAGGAAAGCACTCACCAGAACAGAAGTCATCAGAATATCTGTCATAGACAGCTCGGCAGTCCCTCTCGTCACATTCACAGGTGTCCCCATGAATATCCCCCCAGTCTCCAGTGGGGTCCACATCGTGGCAGGAACATTCGCCACACACACAAATCCCTAGAGCGGAAAAATAATTTTGTATGCGTCGAATGAAGAAAAATCAGGAAAGAAAGCACCTCACACATTGTTCTTTCTTCTGCTGTTCACTTTATACTTGGAAAATATACGTGTTTAGGAAATATATTCTATAGAGGAAAACACCATCCAGAGTGGACAGTAGAGATCTCTCATAAACAAAAGTTATTATCCATGCCGATACTTCTATGGGATTGCAGGATGTATCAGGAGCACCGTGCTGGTAGGAGTCAAAGATAACACCAACACAATTAACATAAAATGTCATTCTTGCTCTCAAGAGGCTTACAATTTATTCGACAAAAAAAAAAAAGCTAATAAAAAAAAAACTAGCACGTGCAGCACTAACATTTTGTAAGCTAGGACATAAATACTCTTAAGAGTTGGGAAAGTGGAAGTCAATGTGAGCAGAAGTAATTAAGGTGGATGGTCTGGATAAGAAGAGAGAAGGGGAAATGTTTTAGGAGGTTTGGAGGTAGAACAATTCAAGAGAGGTCAAGAAAGCAAGAATGAGCAAAGGAAGGTGGGGATGGACATGGGATCCTAAGTAGACCTGACCCACTGGAGCAGAAGGAGCATATCCAGGGAGTCTAAGAAGCAGGCATGGCTGGATCAGACGAGCCCAGGTTATAGAGGACACTGGTACAGGTGGACAGACAGAACTCTGGCTTTTTGGAGATGTGTATAGAGAAGTGTTAAGCTGTAAACCATATTAACTTTGTGTGAAATATTAATAATCATCTTTAGGGCAACCAGCTGATCATTTGTGAAAGGAACAAAGTTAAACCCCTTTCTTACCTCTTCCATCAAAGTCAATTCCAACTAAAGATTTAAGGATACAAAACCATAAAATATAAAATAAAATTCATCTTTATTCAAAATCTTCAAAGCAAATTATTTAAAGAAAAAATAAAAGAATTAATGACACAAAAATCTAAAATTCTGGCTGGGGGCAAGACACCAAAAATGAACTAAACGATAAAAACAGCTGAAAAAAGTAGTCATATGTATTTAAAAGACAAAGCTACTTTCACAAACACAAGCCATTCTTATGAATGAATTATCTAAGGACAAATATGCCTACAGAAAAATAGACAAAAGACACTAATTGGAAGTTTTGTAGAGAGAAATAATGATGATAGATGTATGTAAAAATGCTCACCACTCAACCTATAATGATTAAGGGTTAAGAGAACTTTAAACAACAGTGAGTTAGACTTATTTCAGACGTCAGATAGAAAGAAATAAAAAAGATTGTTTTAGGATTAAGAGTTGGTGCAGGGACAGAGTATAAAATGTACAACTTTCTGGATGGCAGTTTCACAATATAGACTCTTTAGATGTATATTACCTATAAAACAGCTCACTTCAATTAAGGTATTTTGTAAAGAAAAGGAAAAGAACTGAAAAGTACATGTATAGGAACATTAAATATGGTGGTATCATGTCATTGAAAAACCATTAGTGATCTAAATATCCATCAATAAGGCATTCATGAAGCAATGGTTCCTGCATAGCTTATATAATAAATGAAAATATAAGTGAGTTAGTATGATAAATAATCAGACCAACTCTGCATAAATTAAAGACAGGACTTTTCTTTATAATTTTTGTCCCAAGTTCAGGCCTTTTGCTTTCCTTTCTCTATGTACAGAAAGTGGGCATATTCTACTTTTCTGTGTCAGCCTTTAAAAAGATAAAACTGGTGGTGTGTTCAGGCTCTCCATGTAAGCATTACCTATTAAAATGTATCATTCATTTACAGAAATGCAAAAAAATAATTTTCCAGCTTTCTAGAGTTTAACTTTTTTATAGAAGGAAACTGACCACTTACTGATAACTTCAAGTAGTCAGAAAAGTCCAACATGGCTATTTATCTACCAGGACAGCTGACAAAGGGAAAAAGTCGATTTGATATCAACACTTAGTTAACTCACTTTAAATTACATGATAGCAATACTAATATATTTTTTAAATTCCTGCCTAAGGTCAATCTCAATTTCACATGGCTATATTTTATTCACTATCATGTTTTTATTATTGTGTATCAAAGTTAAATGACTCCATATCAATTCGGTATTGTAACCAAGCCTTTGATTGAATCAATTAAGACAAGACAAGTTTTTTCTGGAATGCTCTCTGAATAATTAGATGTTCATGTTGTAGCTGGTTCTGTGAGTCAAGAGACATTTAACAGAAGTATCTACAAGAATCGCCTTTTTGCTGCACCATGTCATTTCTGGAGGGCTGCCAAAGAAATTACAGTCCCTGAGTTAACTATTTGTTCAGTGAAGCTGAACGTATGACAGCAACTTTCTTATCTTTCTGCCTTCTGCCCAGTAAAAAAATAAGAAAGGGACGCTTGTTGGTATAGGAAATGTTGATTTACATCAAAGTCAAACCCTATAAAAGATGACTTCCACATGGAAGGAAATACACAGAAAAGGTGGGGTAATAATTAAGAGCTTTGTTTTTTCCCCAATTATGTAGTAATGAGTATGAAAGACACACCTCTGTTACTGCAGACTTTGCCATCTGGAGATGTGCATCTTCGCTTGCTCTCCCAGGGGGTGATGTCACACTGGAATTCGCATTTATCTCCATGCCAACCAGCCTGGCAGTAACAGTTTCCACAGTAACACTTTCCGTGGCCTTTACCCAAAATGAATTTTATACAGTGAGGAAAAAAAGCAACTTTCAAAAGCAGAATTAACTTTCTACCTCTTGGTGATCACTTCTGCCTTTGGAAATAATCAACCCGCTCCACGGTTCTTGCTTAAAATAATCAAATTATGTAGTTTGCCACTGAAACATCATAGGTATGCCCATATCTACATCATCACACACAGAAAGCAAGTCAAGGTGTCCTCGGATTTGTCCTAGCCAGATGGCTGATGAAAATGACAGAATGTTCAAGAAACTGCATGAAAGACAGAGAAAGTCTACCAGGCCTCCTATCACAAATGTGTACATCAAACTCAAATGTACATAAGCATTCACTCGGAGAGCATTTCTTGGGTTATTTGAAATCAACCATGAGAAACCAATGATGCATACTTCTTTGGGTGCACAGTATTAATGACTGAGCCATTTCTTTAACCAGAGGAAATATTTCATCTTTTCATTCAACAGTATCCGACAAGCTATTGTGTTTTACCACGTGGCAGAGGGTTTCAGTCAAATCAACTTTTAGTAGTTACTTAGACTACTAACTACAAATAAAATAGCATGTACCCTTGGTATTAAAGTCCAATCCCCTTCCTATCTGTCAAGAGGATACAAACGCTAGGTGAGCGCAGCCCATTGTTTTGAGTCCAGCTGCCCCCACACCATTGCAGTTCCCACCCCTCCATAAACTGTTACTCTGCTTGTTCGTACTTATGTCCATCCAATCTGTAATGATGTCACCTCATCACTTTCTGTGCCCATGTCCAGCAACCCTACAAATTCCCAAAAGATGACAAGTCTTTTTCGCCCCAAACCTCCTTTTATATCCTCTTTTTTTCTGTAGTTAGGACAACAACCATGAACGTGTGTTCTTGCACCTATGATGAAAAACAGCACCATTTTGGTTTTTTAGTCTATTCTTTCTGCTTTACAGGAATTTATGCTTTATCAGTCTATGGCTAAAGTCTTTGCTCTTGCCTCTCTCTTCTACATCAGCCATCATCCCAGAGAGTCCATGGGAAACTAATAGCAAGGTTATTTTTCTTTCTAAACACTATGGCATTTCTGGCCAACAGCAGGAGTTTCAGTAGGGCCCAGAACATGCATATTTGAAGGGGAAAATACAATAAAATATGCTAGTCCCATGCTATTTTTACCTCTCAGATGAGACTTCCTTCATGCAGATATATATCAGAGAGACAGAGAGGGTCAGACATGAAGAGAAAGTGCTAGAGTGAAATATAGAGAAAGTGACAAGGACCCAATGTATAATGTCATGCTTTCTGTCTAAATGAGCTGCAATTGAAGTATATACAGAAAACCTCTTCTTAAGCTGGAGATGGGGTTTCCTTGGAGGCTCAGATGGTAAAGAAGCCAGCCGCAATGCAGGAGACCTGGGTTCAATCCCTGGGTGAGGAAGATCCCCCAGAGAAGGGAATGGCAACCCACTCCAGTATTCTTGCCTGGAGAATCCCATAGACAGAGAAGCCTGGCAGGCGACAGTCCATGAGGTTGCAAGGAGTTGGACATGACTGAGTGACTAAGCACACAAGCTAATAGACAGGATCATTTCTACAGCAAATTTTAACTTTTTCACTTAAGCTGACATAAAGACCATCAAATGATTTCATCAATAGTAAAATACAAAAGCTATACATTTTATTCATGGACTTAAAACTATCTCTACATGTAGGCACACAAAAATATCACAAGCCAGTGTTACATCACAAGCCTCAGGAACCTGAGGGTTATACTGGAAGAAAACAAGACAACTGTTTACTAAAAGCTTTTCCTAGGAGTCAGTTTTTTGTTTTGTTTTTTAAGACTTGATTAACTTCTTAAAGTAGAATTTCCTTTAAGTAGATTATACTTAAAGTAGTATAATTTCAGAAATTAAAAAATTTATGCAGCAGTTTGTTAATCTCATGTAAGGCTTACCATGAGATTAAGAACTGATCATAAATCTTCATTCCTCACACCCAAATTCTTTGCATGTTTATAAAATTCAGTACTGATAAGGTTATACTAAAAAATCATTGAGATAGAGATGAACAGGATTATTAGAATAAATCATGTAAAGCTTTACCATATGCAGATAGGGGAAATTAAGCAGATATCTTCATAATTCAAGTGAAAATATTGCAATAAGACATAGCTGGATAAGTGAGATAAAATATAAGCCTGAGGACAATACACAGTCCAGACAATGAACATCATTCTTTGCTTTGTGCAAACTGATGGAGCAAGAAAATCTCTTTTTGCATTGCTGCCCTATTGGGCAGTAGAATCACCTCTCAACAGACTGTTTTCATGTGAATGACACATGGAAAAATCTAGAATCCTACTCAATGTCATCGCCAGAGGATTTTATGGCAGTGTTGGTTGTCTGTGGTCAGAGAGTTTGCACCATGAAATTGCTTTAGCCTCAAACCAACAGAAATAATGAGTGGAAAGGTTGAGCGTTAAACATTTCCTGTTCTTTCCAGGTCAGTGTTTATATTTACACACACAAATAGACTTTGCTTTGGTGGTGTGCATCAGAAAACACTGCTCCACACATGTTCCCTTCCTCTGTTTTGATCTGTGATAACTGCAAATGAAGTATCAGGAAGACAAACACACTACATGTGTGGGTAGCTTTATCTAATTTCTAATCATTTTGGAACAAGCCCTTTAGCAGAACTGTCAGAGCAGCATCGAGCTTAGGTCACTGGGAGGAAAAAATGAAGGTTCTTCTCCTTTTTTTTTTTCCTGGTTGGTGTCCAGCAAGGACACCAGAGAGAGAGATCCGAGCTGACCTAAAATAAGAGCATCTGGATGACCACAGGAATTGCAGCCTCAATTTGTTTTGTAAACCAAGGGACAGCTTAGTAACACTTTATGGCCTTCTGGTTCCTCCCCACCCCACTGGCTCCTGATCCTTTCAGGGAAAATACTCCTCTGAAATCACCCATTGGTATGCAGGATAGGATTCCGCGGGTGGAGTCTCTTCAGATGTCAGTGAAAGAATTAATTAGTTATGGATAGAGAGATTAGGCCAGAGGTAAGCAGCTTAAAATGTTTCATAACAGCAAAGAAGAGTGCTCCCAAACTGACGTGATTCTCACTGCTGTTTACTTTGCTCCCCTGTGCCAGTCATGATTGAAACCCTGGGCAGAGAGTTGCGGGGAGGGAAGCAGAAGAGAAGGGAGCTATTAATATAGTACAAGTGGTAAGTAGGGCTTTCCTCATGGAGCTCCAAACTCCAGGGCAGTTCTTTGTGGGGAGTAATCAATAGCACAGTCTTTGGCATCAGACAGTACGTGCGTGCATGCATAGTCACTCAACCTTTGGGGCTGTAGCCTTCCAGGCTCCTCTGTCTATGGGATTTTCCAGGCAAGAATACTGGAGTGGGTTGCCATTTTCTGCTCCAGAGGATCTTCCCAACCGAGGGATCAAACACTCATCTCCTGCATTGAGGCAGGTTCTTTACCCACTGAGCCATCAGGGAATCCATGCATGAGACAGACAGGAGTTTAAATTCCATTTAACCTGGGCAAGTATTCCCGATCCTGGTAAATTACCTAATGAATACAAATTACTCACTGCAGCTCTTGACACTGGCAAGTCTGCAATAATCGGTACAACAGAAAAACTGATTAAGTAATGGTGGTCCATAGAAACAATCATGAAAAAAGTTATCTGAGTGTGTGGGGAGGGATAGATTCTAGGCTAATAATCCAATTGGTCTTCAATGTCCCCAGTAGCACATGAGAGTATTTACAAGGTTATGGTTCAAAATGGGAAAGAAAATGAAATTAAAACATGCAATGGAGAGTGGGAGAAAAGAGGCCGAGTGAAAGCTGAGCAAAGAAGACAGAGTCCAACTAGGACTACTTGAGAACCATGCAATCGGCCTGTTGCCATAATGATCTGGCTCTTCTCTGGGAACAATCTGATTCTGCATTTAAAAAGCACTGGAAAACAACAACAAAATTCTGTAAAGCAATTATACTTCAATTAAAAATAATAAAAAATTAAAGAGAAAAACTCAAAAACCTACTAGTATACTGTAAATATCACATAATATCACTTGTATGTGGAATCTAAGAAAATGACACAAATGAATTCACTTACAAAACAGAAATAGATGCACAGACATAGAAAACAGACACAGTTACCAAAGGGGATACCAGGGATAAATTTGGAGTTTAGGATTAACAGATATACACTACTCTATATAAAATAAACAACAAGGACCTACTGCATAAGACAGGGAACTATATCCAATATCTTATAATAACCTATAATGGAAAAGAATCTGAAAAAGAATATATATGTGCACAAATATATTATTTGAATCACTATGCTGTACACTTGAAACTAACACAACACTGTAAATAATACTTCAATAAAATGGTTGCAAGATAAAAATTATGAACAATTTTTCATTGGAAAAGACCCTGATGCTGGGAAAGATTGAAGGCAGGAGGAGAAAGGGACAACAGAGAATGAGATGGTTGGATGGCATCACCGACTCAATGGACATGAATTTGGGCAAACTCCGGGAGAGTTTGCTCCCTGAAGGTCAGGGAAGCCTGGCGTGCTGCAGTCCATGGGGTTGCCAAGAGTCAGACACAACTGGGTGACTGAACAACAACAAAGGTCTATGAATCTGCTCTGAATGCCTTAGTCTAAATTTCCTTACATGAAATATTTTCCAAATAAACATAGGTTCAGCTTAAATGAGTAAACTCAGTGCCTAAACTCATAGAGATAAAAGTTCAGTGAAACAGGTGACAAAATCAAGTACTTATTTTTTGCAAAGTTAATATACATACCTCCACATATTTCTTCTGTTTCATCATCTATGCATTCTCTGTCATCACACTCACAAAATTTACCATAAACAAGTCCATTTCCATCTGAATTATCACATTTACACCTGCCACAATGACATGTACCTAAACCATTAAAACAAAGCAAAAATTATTTGTTAAATGCATATAAATTATAATTAATGAATTTTAACCTCTCTTTCATGGATAAAGACAATTCCAATCAATTTTATACTCCAATTAGGTTTTACTGTGGGTATGATGAGATGGATAATGACATTCTTTTTTGAGATTATTGTAGCCCATTAGTTACATTTTATAGCACACAGCTATTATGATTGACCTCTAATAGTTTCATGAATGTAAATCTGAACTCCCCAAGAGCAGAGTTACATTACAAATGTCCATCCAATCAATGCATGAATGAATATCTTCTGATTACACCTGGGTCTGAGTGAACTAAAGCAGAAAATGCTAAGCTTTCTAAGAAAAGTAACCTTGCTTATCTTCCTCACCAGTTATTTATTCAATGCTTTGCACAATATTTGAGCTTATCATTTAAATAATAAATATTTGTGGAATTCATTATCAAATTTAAATATATGAAAAACTCAGATGTTCCTAAAAACTTCATATCTGCAGTGTTAAAGTGATACCCATGTCCTTATAACAAAGGGCCCAGAGTGGGTTTTCCTTATGCATGGAGTTCTAGCACCTCACCAGAACCTCAGGGTGACTCAGGCTGAAACAGAGGCACCAGAACCATCTGGTCTACCATTCTCCACATACCCAGTCAAGTTTATAAGGATTTTACTACAGCCCCTGAGAATGAGTTCACTGACAATAAAACAGCATTCAAAGGATACTGAGAAGTAGAATCTAAATTTGACTAGCTTCCTTTTTAATGCTTATTTTTTTATCTTAATTGATCATCACATCAATTACCACAGAGTAACTGAGACTTTGTCATTCACTAGATATCATCCTAGATTCTGGAAATGCAACAGGAGATTGATTCAGCCATAACCTCCTCTTAAAGTTTTATATGAGTAAAAACCAAAGTGATAAAATAAATGGAGAAGTGCAAAGTGTTGCAGAAACACATAGTAAGGGGATTTATCTGAGACCTGGGGGCCAAAGGGTCCCTGGGGAGTGGCTCTTAAACTGAGAACTGAAAGACAAGTGAAAATAACAGCTAAGAGAAGTGAGATGATGAAGAAGCCCATTTCCAGCAAGAGACAACAGCAAAAGCTCTGCAGTAAAAGGGGAAATAAGAGGAGGGGAAAGACAGCTGGTGTATAGTGGAAAATAACGCAGAGGGTGTCATGAAAGGAAGAAAAGGCAACTAATGGTGAAATTTATGGAAATCTAAAAGGCTGAGCACTGAAGAATTGATGCTTTCGAATTGTGGTACTGGAGAAGACTCTTGAGAGTCCCTTGGACTGCAAGGAGATCAAATCAGTCAATCCTAAAGGAAATCAACCCTGAGTATTCATTGGAAGGACTGATACTGAAGCTCCAATACTTTGGCCACCTGATGGGAAGAGCTGACTCATTGGAAAAGACCCTGATGCTGGGAAAGATTGAAAGCAAAAGGAGAAAGGGGGTGGCAGAGGATGAGATGGTTAGACAGTATCACCAACTCAATGGACATGAATTTGAGCAAACTCCAGGAGATAGTGAAGGACAGGGGAGCCTAGTGTGCTGCAGTCCATGGGGTTGCAAGGAGTCAGACATGATTTAGCAACTGAACAACAACAAAGAGGTCACATTAAAGATTTCCAACTTTCATCCAAGAATAATGAGAAGCCATTGAAATATTTCAACAAGGGAGTCATGTGATCAGGCATTCATTTCCACCAGGTTATTCTGGTTGTCACATGGAGAATACATTGAAACGAGGCAAAGTGGATTTGAAGGAATGTTGGTTCATTAGTCTGCAGGAAAGAACATAGAGGCTGACCTGGGTTATGGCCATGAGTTTAGAAAAAAGAAAATACAAATGGGGATATTTTCAGGAGAAAGAAAAGATGACTCAGTGACTGGTTTTGAGAGGTAAAGTATGGAAAGGAACTAAAGATATTGAAATTTGAATTGAGCTACTGAATACTGGAAATTCTCTATGTGTTGAACCAGAAGGAGCATGGATTTAGGACTAATGAAGATCTGAAGCTAAATCCACGTCTTAATCCCCTCTAGCTATACACTTTTGAGGTCATTATTTTTATCTCTAATTCTCAAACTCCTTATCTGCAAATAATGTCTACTTCATACAGCTATTCTGAAGAACAAGTGATAAATATATCACCCTGTCATCTTTCTAAAAACTCTATTGTGTCTAGCACATTGTAGACTTCCAGAAAATGCTGGGTTCTTTGTCTTCTCCCGTTAAGACTTTGAGTATATTAGTCATATTCCCAAATATTTTCTCCAGACACATTTTATATTTATGGCTCCCACTGTTTCCTGGTTTCCAACCCTCTGTGTGATTCTGTTACACAGGTCACTTCTTTCTCTCACAGTCACAAATAAACGGTGATTTCACAGAACCTGAGCTTGTTATTTTTCTTCCTTGAGAATACATGTGTGAATTTTACTTTTATTAAATTTCATTTTTCTTGTTTTTTTTTCCCCCTGGAAACTATTTTGATTTGTAAAAGTTCATTTTGAATCTAATGCTACAATTCATGGGGTTGCCTCATCTCTTTTTTTTTTTTTCTAATTATCACCCTTCTTTTTCATTTTCACATTATTCATGCTCTCTTTCAACCATTCACATCTCTATTCATTACATTTTCTCATTGCTTATTATATCACTGGTGAAGTTGTAGGTGCTATAGGAAAGACACAGTGAAGAAGTAAGTTTTGAGTTGGCACTTGGTATACAGATAGAATTTCAAGAAGAGGAGATGGAGAAAAGCCTTGTGATGCTGAAGAAAGAGTCTGAGCTAAGGAATACGCATGCAGAATTAAAGAACAGTGAAGACTCTGACTTGAGTTTGGAGAAAAGTGTCTACTGCAGGCAGAAAGTATGGGATGCAGAATATTGGTCAAGGATTTTAGAATTCATCTGTTGGAATACCAGGAGCGCTTCATGGTTAGGGAGAGAGGTGTACCGTCGTGAAGATTACGATGCCATCATTGTTTTCAGGGAGGATGAGAAGGCATAGTCTCTGCTCTGAATTCTACAACTCCTCCCTGGCGTCCCCCACAGGCTGGCTCCCTCAGTCCACACATCCGAACCATCCCTGGGTGGCGCGGGAAGTTTACAGCAGTTCAGAGCCTTCCTGTCTTACTCATCAAGTGGAATTCACAACTGAGGCTCCAAGAAGCGGCATATGGAAGCCCCGGCAGACGCGCCAGACTCGTGTGTTCATGCTGTGTCATCCCGTGGCTCTTTCTTGGTCGCCGATTAGCTCAGTCTCTAGGATTGGTCTTCTGTCTCATGCTAGATTATTTTGGTTCTGACTTTTCATTCTGCCTAATATAGCTGGCTCTTTCTAGGATGACTCCCTGTCTTGAACACCAGCCTATATTGCTGATGCGATGGTGCAGGAGACTCGCTTTGCTCTGGCTCAGCTCTGCAGGCTGTGCCTTGCCATTCTGCGCCCCAACAGAGTCGGCTTTTGGGACTCCTTTGGTCCTCCGCTCCACCTCCCTCTCCCCCTGCTCTTCGGTCTTCTTCCCCACTTCATACAGCTCCTCTTCCCTTTCTGCTCCAAGCTGCTTCCTGAAAACCACACTGCGGTGTGAGGGGGGAAAGATCAGTAATAACAACTCAGTTGTTGCTGTTGTCCTGTTGCCAAGTCGTGTCCGACTCTTTGCAACCCCAATGGACTGTGGCACGCCAGGCTCCTCTGTCCTTCACTATTTCCCAGCATTTGCTCACATTCAAGTCCATTGAGTCAATGATGCCATCCAACCATTTCATCCTCTGCCGCCCCCTTCTCCTTTTGCCTTCAGCATTCCTCAGCACTGGGGTCTTTTCCAGCAAGTTAGCTCTTCCCATCAGGTGGCCAAAGTGTTAGAGCTTCAGCTTCAGCATCATTCCTTCCAATGAATAATCAGCATTTTTCCCTCTAGCATTGACTTGTTTGATCTCCTTGTTGTCCAAGGGACTCAGACTAACACAACTTGTGGGCAGTGGTCCTCTAGGCTGGTAGAAGTAAACATTAAAGAAAGACATGTGGGGAAAAGACCCCCAAAGTAAACATGAAAGGTTAAGAAACTGAGAGGAGAGTAAGAGATAAAAAAGATTGTGTTTAAAAAAAAAAAAAAGACTGTGTTGTCTGTGAAAATTGTCTAAAGACACATTAAAGGATTCTGAAGATTTATGACAACCAGAAGTAACACTGCCCCTAGACTGGAACAGAGGTGGGGGCAATGCTATAAAAGGCATTGTTGGGTCAGTTGACAAAACTGGAATATGGACAGGTTACATAAAAATACTGTATCCATGTTAAAAAAATAGAGGTAAACATATCTTAGAAATGTATTTTATATCTTATCCAACCTGTTTCATCATTTGCTAAAACAATTCTGTAAATTTTCTCCTTTCAGATGTATTGAGATGATGATGTAGTGAATCACACATTTAGATTCCTTAATAGTGAAACGCTTTTGGATTCCTAAACTAATCCTTAGGTGGTTAACATGCATTATTAAATTTTTAACAATTATTAAATATCATTAAATTTTTAATAATTATTAAATGTATTATTAAAAAGAAAAAAAAACAGATTTGAAAATCAATCAATCCAAAATAAGACAACAAAGAAACAAAACTGAAATTGACTTTGACACGTCTTACTACCAAAAGAAGTTTAGAAAGCATGAAGTTGAGAGAGAGGGTGAGTGTGTGTGTGAGTCCGCATGTGTGTGTGTGCGTGTGTGTTTAGAGGGTAGGTATTGTGAACCGAAGTAAAAAGATTTTACTAAGAAGAAAGAAAAGAAGGAAGTGCTGGTGAGAAGCCAGGAGAATGACAGTAAACACAGAAAGTGACCTGACTGTCAGGACTTGCGTCATGGTTCCCAGCTGCACCAGTCACAACTTGCCTTGGAAATAGCCCTGATTACTATGAACAAAACAGCCTACTGCACTGAATCTACACAGAACAACTCCTGTCAGTCAAGACTGTGGAAAAGTCCCAGCTCTGATTGCAAAAGGAGTCCACCAACCATGGGAACTTCAGAAGGGCAGGTATTCCTGTGTCATCAAACCCTGGCCTGGAGCAGACAAAGCAAGAACTCACGCCCTCAGACCTACTTAAGAAGGGATGCCCAACCTCCGGATCTAATGCCCGATGATCTGAGATGGAACTGACGTAATAATAATAAAGTGCACAATAAATGTAATGCACTTGAATCATCCCTAAACCTTCTATCCCACTGTTAGTCCTTGGAAAAATTTTTTCCATGAAACTGGTCCCTGGTGACCAAAAGGTTGGGGACCATTGTGCTGAAGAACTACCCAGAGAATTTTAAAAACACACTCCAGTTCATATCAGATGCCAAAGAAATGAAATCAAAGCCTCCAGTGAGGACAGGAGCATTCCCAGTTTCAACCAGGGTTGAAAATATAAACTGACTTTGAGCTTCTATGTGCTCAACTGCCAAAAGAATATTTAAGTATAGTAACATTGGCTAAACACCATTAAAACCAAAACCATAGTTGTTGAGTTTTATACGATTTGGGTAATTAATTTTAACAGCTCCTCAGTACATTTCTAAGAAAATAGTTTTAAATGACATCTACAAGATAGAAAAATATTTCAGTTAAATAAAACTCTTGCTGTCACTATCTTCTTCAATGGGTTTCACATCCAGGGCATCTGAAACCTCCATCAAATTTGAAAAGTTTAGTTCTGCTTGATGGTAACATATGAATTCAAAGCACCCTTGATCTGTAACAGAGAACAATTAATTCAGTTTATACAAGTCCTTTTTAAAAGAATTAACCCAGCATTTGAAAACATGGCTCACAGTTGACTTAAAATGCTGTCAGGGGTTTTTATTCCAGAAAATATCCTGCTTGAAGCAGGCATGTGGAACAGCTGGAGAGCCTCAGACTTGCCAGTCTCAGCAAGATGACATTTTCCCCAATTGATTTATCTGAATTTCATTTCAAAAAAAAAAATACACTCAAAAGCAGTCTCACTCCAAGGTTCAACATTTCTCGACGCCTACATATTTCCATTAAGAACCCGACTTTGATGATTTCATTTGAGGATGCTCTGGGGACAGAATTCTTACCTGCATTAGAGCAGATGATGTCTTGAGAATTCTTGCACATTTGGTTACTCTTTTTCTTGGTCAGCTCACAGTTGGTTGGGTACTGGCAAGCGTCACCAAACCATCCTTCATCACATTTGCATCTGCCACAGTCACACTTACCATGGCCTGAGAATTTAACAACATCTAGTTAGACTTAGACTGTTCTCCAAAGAATCTTAAGAGTGATGCTGGCTCAGGAATAAACCATAATAAATTCAAACACAAGTATATTACAGCAGTTAGTGGGGGAGGGGGGCGGGTAACACTATTTATACTCCATACAATGGACTATGTGGGCTTTATTTCCAAAATTAACTTTGATAACTCATTCTAAAAACATTAACTCATAGAGACATTAGGCTAGATAATTAACCAGAGGTCTAAAAAACACATGATCAGAAAATTTAGCACTAAAAAGTCCACCAGGCACTTGCACATTTAAAACACAAAAACCCAATAAAACTCATTTCCGTTTAGCTGCATTTTATAACACATAAAACCACAAACTCTAAGTAAGGAATCTTAGATAAAATTATACTAAACATTGGCCTTATGTTTATTTGAATTTCATACGTAATAAAATTGTATAGAAATGTTAAATATATATCTCTATATATTTATAATTTTCCCACTTTGGGATAAGATTAACATGAAAAATAAGTATACATTTTGTTTCTTGATGGGAAAATTTGGTTCAGGAGTCAAAAGGATAAGAGTCACAGCCATCCACCTTCACAAAAGTTTCTCAACCTTTCATTCTCTCAAATCAACATTTTGCTGTTTTTATTTTTGCAGTCATTAATTTTACCAAGTCTTGTTTGAAGAAGCCAGCTAATGTTTCTATTGACTACATATTAGACAGAAGTGCAAAACACATACAATCCTTGGTCTTTGTCCTCAAGGGATTTACAAAGTGCAAAGTCAAGGCTAATATGCAAAGAGGATTGTGTTACGTTCAGCCAGAACTATTTGCTGGATGTTGTATGAAGTTGAAGGATGTAGTCTATGACCTACAGAAGAGGAGAAAGATTTTCTGGACTTCTTTGACCTTTAACTGGGCCTTGAAAGGTGAGCAGAATTTGAAAGGGTTGCAGGGAGAATGAAGAAGAAGGTGCTAGTCACTCAGTCATGTCCAACTCTTTGTGACCCCATGGACGGTAGCCCACCAGGCTCCTCTGAAGACAGGCAAGAATGCTGGAGTGGGTTGTCATTTCCTTCTCCAGGGGATCTTCCCGACCCAGGGATTGAACCCTGGTTTCCTGCACTGCAGGCAGTTTCTTTACAATCTGAACCACCAGGAAGAGAGTGTTTGTATATTATTCAAGATGACAGTGCTATGTCCTAGTGCCTGAAATTCACAGGCCACAATGGAACAGAATCATTGAGCTGGGGCCAACAGTCACTCGAGATGATGGCCAAAATCCACATGATGAGGTCCAAATGGTCAGTCAGAGTGAATGGCTCAAAGGCATGCCATATGGGCATGTCGGGCAGAGCCTGGGTCTCTGATCGTCTCTGACTTTAAAACTCCTGTGCATGTGGCCCAGTCCATGTAAGGGTTTCTATTCCTGTTGCATTTTTCTAATTAATTATTCTATTTTACAAACAACACCTTGCCTGCACCCTAATTACAATTCATTTCATCCAGTGCATGTTACTTTGTCAAGCTGATTGTATCATCTTGCATCCCTGTCTGGTCCGACACGATACTGTCAATCTCAGCCAACTTGGTATCACTGACAAGCATAAGTGATCTCTCCTGCCAACCATCCAGTTTATGAACATATTGAGCCAAATTCTTAAAGTGGCTAAACCTCTTTTGGTGAATTAAGAATCTTGGTCACTGTAACGATTCTTTAATAATATTAGTTGTATTAGGTTAAACAGTGTGAAATAGCCACTTTTAAAATAAATGTATTTATTTTTGATTGGAGAATAGGTGCTTTACAATACTGTGTTGCTTTCTGCCGTACACCAACATGGATCAGTCATAGGTACACATATGTCCCCTCCCTCTAGAATCTCCCTCTCACCCCACCCCACTCCTCTGGGTTGTCACAGAGCAACAGGTTTGAGCTCCTTGCATCATACAGCAAAGAAACAGCCACTTCTATAAGTTAAATGTCAGCTATTTCTTATGGTTCATCCCAATAACAAAAGCTCCATATCAACTGTGAAGAAAATAAGAATGATTTAGAAGAAAAGGAAGTATCTAGAAAAAGAATACATCTTTTATATTGGATGGAAGATCCGAAACTCCAAACGAAGGTACATATGACAGAGGTGGGTGATGGTTTGTGGGTCAAAGGTTACAGACTTTTTAAAATGGAGGAGATTTCCAAAAATAGAGGAAAAATAAGGAAAATGTACAGAAGATATTAAAAGGCTCATTCATCTCACAATGACTCCATGAAGCATCAGTAGAAGCTATATTTTAGGTGCTTATACCCCAAAGTTATTAGTACATGGAGGTGCAGTTTCAGAAACTTCTTCCATAAAAGGCTCTATGATAAAATAAACATGGAAAATGACATGCTATATTCTTCTCTTAGCGTGTCATGATATATACCAGCACGCTGAAGCCCATGAGAGGTCCTTTCGAGAAAAAGCTATTTAACTTTATTAGAATACACAATTTTTTTGATTAGCAGGCCCCTTGTCCTCACATCTTATGTTAACATCTTAGGCACACACTGCCAGGTAATGTGATTTCAGCTTTTCCTTAAGCATCTGACCATAGGCAAAGCTGACAGATGAGGTAGGACAGGGTCATCTGCTTTTATGTTTTGTCTAAACTTCATGCCTGGTAGGGTCTTCTGATTCACTTTCCTCCACTTAGGAAAGCAAATGGGAAGAGATTTCTTTTTTCTTTTTTTACTGTCAAAAATTACCAAGGAATAGCCTATACAACTTTATCAGGAGATAAGTGCACAATGTTTTTAGAAAGAAAAGAATATTTAAATAAGTTCTACTCTTTGAAACTGAAAGTGTGACTCAGTCATGTCCGACTCTTTGCGACCCCATGGACGGTAGCTCACCAGGCTCCTCTGTCCATGGAATTCTCCAGGCAAGAACACTGGAGTGGGTAACCATTTCCTTCTCCAGGGGATCTTCCTGACCCAGGAATCAAACCGGGGTCTCCTGTGTTGCAGGCAGACTCTTCACCATCTGAGCTACCAGGGAAGATCCTCTTTACTCAAGGTTAAAAAGAACTCTGGCCGACCTCAGGGAACGAGGCTGCTGTATTATGGAAGCAAGGTAATCTCCCCTGCAGTGTCAACAACGTGGCTTCGCTGAACATCCCGTTTGGCGAAACACTTTATCCACTGTGTACTAGTTTGCTGCAGCTGTCATCCAACGTACCATAAACTGAAAGGCTTAAAGCAACAAAACTTTCCTCACTCCCAGCTCTAGCGCCCCCAAACTGACATCAAGGTGCCAACAGTCTGATTCCTTCTAGAGGATCTACGACAGACGTTCTCCCATTCCTGTCTCCCGTCCACTGGTGGCTGCCTGCAGTCCTGGTGCTCCCTTGTCTGAGCAAGCTTTCCCTGCTCCGCTTCTGTCTTCATGTGGCTTTTCCCCTGTGTGTCTGTGTCTTCACATCTTTCTCCTTATAAGTGCATGGGTCACTGGATTAAGAGTCCATCAGACTTCCGGAGGACCTCATCTTAATTACATCTTCCAAGACTGTCTTCCCAAATGTCACATTCAAGGCACCGGGTGGAGGGATTTCACCCATCCTTTAGCGGGGCATAATTTAATCCTCAAGAGTTGCAAGTAATAGATCCTGATTACCCTCTTTCTTACCTAGATGGAATATTTAAAAGCAGAGACATCACTTTGTCAATAAAGGTCCATAAAGTTAAAGCTATGGTTTCTGTAACAGTCACCTAAGGATGTGAGAGTTGGACCATAAAGAAGGCTGCGTGCAGAAGAATTTATCTTTCAAACTGTGGTGTTGGAGAAGACTCTTGAGAGTCCCTTGGATTGCAAGGAGATCAATTCACCAATTTTAATGGAAATTAACCCTGAATATTCATTGGAAGGACTGGTGCTGAAGCTGAAACTCCAATACTTTGGCCACCTAATGTGAAAAAGACCCTGATGCTGGGAAAGATTGAGGGCAGGAGGAGAAGGAGACAACAGAGGATGGGATGGTCGGATGGCATCACCGACTCAATGGACATGAGTTTGAGCAAATTCAGGGAGATGGCGAGGACAGGGAAGCCTGGTGTGCTGCAGTCCAGAGGGTTGCGAAGAGTCGGACACGATTTAGTGACTGAACTGAATTACATATTCACATATAAGATGCGGTCTTTTTATGCCCTCTTGGACGTGAAAATAAATGGCTAGAGCTGAGAGCAGCTTCCCCCTCCCCATTTCTACGCCGCAGCAGGAGGGCCTGAGAATTCCCACCGACAGCCTGGCCCAGGCCCACGTGTGCATGCACAGCTCTGCGAGCCCCTCTCCTCCCCAACTCCTCCCACAGTCGAGGTCCCTGACCACCCCCAGTCCCAGGACATCTGCATCACCCAGACTAGGGGGGAAGCCACAGCAAGCTCTGGAAGAGATGCGGAGACCTTTGTGGTAGAAGGTCCTGGTCCCAGTCTCCTCGGGCTAGAAGGGCAGAGGTGGAATGGACTACTATTCAGCTATGAGAAAGAAGGCAATCCTGCCATTTGGAGCAACATGAAGGGACCTCCTGATGGCAAAATGCGAAGTGAAATAAGTCAGACGGAGAAAGAGAAATAGTGCCCAACCTCACGTATACATGGAATCTGAAAATAACAGAAAATAACAGCCAAGCAAACAAAGAAGCCAAAATCCAAACTCATAAAAAAACAGGTTTGTAGCTAACACGGCGGGGATAGAGAACTGGATGAAGGTGGTCAAAAGGTACAAAACTCCAGTTTTATGATAAATAAGTACTAGTATGTCATGTACAAGATGATAACCATAGTAATATACATTGGCCTTCCCTCGTAGCTCAGATGGTAAAGAATCTGCCTCCGATGCAGGAGACCCAGGTTCGATCCCTGGGTTGGAAAGATGCCCTGGAGAAGGGAACAGAAACCCCCTCCAGTATTCTTGCCTAGAGAATCCCCACGGACAGAGGAGCCTGG